GTTCGAGATCCTCATGCTGATTTTCATCCAGCATTTCATTTGGTTGTTGCTCATTTGCGTTGCCATCTATTTCATCCAGTATTCCATTTGGTTGTTGCTCGTTTGCATTGCCATTCCTCAGTCTATTCTTTAAGTCCTCATAAGTGTCGACAAAATCACGTCTGATCTCAACATGCGAGCGACATACAACAATTCCATAAACACAGACCCACATGGCCAAAGCCAACCCGCCAATGGCTGGGACAGTGATCAATATTGGCATAATAACAGTAAGTACACCCAAGAACAAACTTAATTTGTTCACTATCACATGCCTTATGCCGTTGGTTTGGAGTACATATTCCGCCGACAGTGATGAAAAATAGGTCAAAATAACGACAATGAATGCTACCACCCCTCCATAATGTGTTTCAAATGGTTGATACATTAATTGGAGGGTGGCACCCTCCAATACCATGAAAACCTTACAAATTTTGTGGAATTCATTAGAAGAATTAGCTTTCGGTTCCCTACAACACAAGATAATGAAATGAGAATTAGAATACAAAATAAAGGGTTAAATGTAATACAATTGAATTCACAGGGGTGGCACCGAATGGGCACACAAAGAAAAGGGCAAACAAGGTAGTAGGAATGGTAAAGGGGTGGCAAATGCAATGCCAATTCAGACACAGGAACCCAGCCAAATCCGCTACCAGTTAGTGATTTAGGTTTACTTATTGCTGAACCAAGATTGGGTGTTTAGGGTTCAATTTTTCAGAGATACTATTATTTAAGTTCCACTGTGTTTGTAAGAAATAGCTCATCCGATCCCTGGGGTAGTTTGTTATGTATGTTGTACTCTACTTATTTTTCGGGTATTTAAAGATGTCTCAAGATACTGCTAGAGGTAGAAGGAAGCCACTGGAATTAAAATGTGGATATATTTATTATGTATCTTTTTGTTAATCTATTTGAAATCTTATTCTAAAACAAAAGAGAACAAGAAAACCAAAACCAAAATTGTTTTGTGATAGATAGAGTGGATTTGAATCACCAATACGCAACAACCTTTGGTTCATTTTTGGAGGAATTCTATCTGCGTAAAACACCCCGCTCGAGCGGCCACTCACAGACTTCCGCTTGAGCGGCCAACCTCCCGCTCGAGCGCAGAATGCACTCGCTCAGCGCTTTTGCAGAACCAGGCCTCCGCTCGAGCTCCCAACCCTACGCTCGAGCTCACAACACTGTACAACAAGATACTGGATGGATGTATTCCCCGCTCGAGCGCCAACACCTCCGCTCGAGCGGACAGGCCAAAAATCTGGGCAACTAGTTTTGGTTTCTAAACTCAACCAACCTGAAACAAACCTGCCCAACACATCCCATAACTCAAATACTAAGTAAAAAGGATACAAACAAGATGATAGACAACTACCAACATCCACGGACACATGTCCGGATCACGGTATAACGAGGGTAAACCCGGGATCGCTATAGGAATCTTTTTTTATCTAGAAAACATTTTATAATGAGTACAAAAATTATTCAAACATTCCTTCAAACTTTTTAAAAGGAGTACAAAAAACTTCTTGGTAAGCTTTAGGCAAATGTATTCAAACTTTAACACTCTAATGTAACACTCAAATGTAACACTTCAATGTAAAACTCCAAAAAAAAAAAAAAATTATTATACTTTTTCCAAATATAACACTCCAAAAGAACTTTCTAGTGTAAAAACTCTAATGTAACACACAAAAAACTCTGTACTATACTTTTTTCAAACGTAACACTCTAATTTAACACATCAAAAAAATGATGTGGAATTCTTCAAATAATTCCAAAAGGATTGTAGGATTCTTCAAACCATTCTAATAGGAGTGCAAAAATTCTTTAGTAAACTTTGAGCAAATTTATAATTTCAAATTGTGAGTGTTACGTTTGGAAAAAATATATTTAAGAGTTTTTTAGTGTTTTTATGTGTTACATTGGAGTGTTAGGAAAAAGTACACTAAGGAGTTTTTTTGGAGTGTTATGTTTTTACGTTTGGGGAGTTTTAGAGTGTACTAAATTTTTTTTATTAAAGTGTTACGTTATTGTAGTGTTATATTAAAGTGTTACATTTTTATTCGTAATGTAGGATTTGCTTCAGAAGGAGGGAAAATCCAAAAACTCTATAGTGTAGATTGCTCAAATATGTAATATTACATTTGGAGAAACTCACTTTTCTCCCTAAAAAGAAAAAATTAAATCCAAACATGTAAGTGACTACCTTTTGTGTAATTTTCAATTTATGGGACTTTTGGATTCATAACCAAAACAAAATAGTTTACAAGATCATATTTTGAGATTTATTGATACTTCACTCCATATATATTATGATAAAAGTTTCCAAAATTATCAAAAAAAAAAAAGGATTGTATCAAGGAAAGACTTCTTCCACAAGAACATTCCTAACCTCAAAATATATTCCTTGTGATTCAATCAATCTCACTGTACATGTAACCGAAGAGTCAAAAGGCACAATAGCTACCACTTGAGCATCAGAATGTTTAAAACAAGGCCGTTAAAATCGAGATTCTAAGTTGGATCGTTGGAAGTGTTTATAGGACCGGATCGTAGAATTGGATCGAAAATCATAAGATCCTACCGAAAAAGACAAATTACATAATAATGTAATTTAAATAAATATTTCTTGAAAAGTATACATAAAATGAGCCTATATTCTATTAAAAAGAAGTGAAGATATTGTGAAAAATATAATACTCCATAATGAAAGTTTTGAATGTCATCAAAAAAGAAGGTGAAAAAGAAGAATTCTATAACAAAATACTTTACAATCTATAATAATGCATAAAAAGTGAAGAAAAAATATTTAACAAAGTTGGAAATGAAAATAGATTAAGAATTCAAAACCGCGGCTTCACCAAATGAAAAGGTTTGTTGTTAGCATCTTTAGTGGAGCGGATTCGAGTCACAAAAATAATCTCTCCAAAAATTGGGATAAAGTTGCAATCATTTTACCCTCCTTAGACTCCGCTAAAGCTAAGTTTGTTTTTCCGACTAGTTAATTTTCTTAAATTACCACAATATTTGAATGTTTGTTTCTTAGTTTGTTTTTCTTAGTCTATTTGATTCAATACTACTTAAGTTTTATTATTTATTTTGACCACATAAATTGATATTTAGATAACCAATATAAAATTTACAATAAAATGTCATAAAATACAAAACAAGACTTGTAAATTAGATCGGATTCAGATCGGGATTCCACAATCTTATAAAATTCCATTAACAGGATTTAAGATCCTACCTATA